ATATATATATATATATATATATATATATATATATATATATATATTGTATTGAGCACTTTTTATTATTTTAGCTTTTGGTAGGGAGAGCTTTACCTTTGATTGTGGTAGATGCTATTTTCAGTGCCCTAATTATTTTATTAGTAGCTTTTGTCAGAACCCTAATTATTTTATATTCAATGTTTTGGGTTTTCTTTTTTTAAGCATTTCACCCCAAGCAAGTCAGAAGTGCCATTATCACACAGGGTTTATGGAGTGAAAATGAGAGAAAAGTGTGGGTGTAAGGGGGGGGGGAAGAAAGGAAAAAAGAACAGGTATCAACGCAACAAAACATGGTGACTGAGGTTGCATTTAGGTTTTTGATGATTGTAGTTATCAGGGAAGCAAGTGAGAGGAATGGAGTTCCAATATGGAGAAGTGCGAGGAAAGAAACTGTTAGAAGGTCGGTTACATTTAACTATTTCAACAGTAAAAAGTTGGGACCTAGATGCCAATCTAGTAGTACACTTAAATTCATGTAGTCAGGGCACCAGGAGAAAAATGCTTATCAGTGCAGTAGCCATGAAAATATTTGTAGAAAAGACAAAGGGAAGCCACATCACGTCTGTGAGAAAGCGGTTGAAGTCAAGAAGCTAATTCAGTACCGATTACATTACAGATCCTACTTTAGATTTTTTTTGAGAATATTGCAGTAAGGGAAGGTAGGGGAAAATTTTATGGATAAAACTTTAACTGCGCAACCAGTAATAAAAATCACAGAAATGCAATCTATGTTGTTATTCATTTAAACATCATCATTATTTAATAGTAATAAAATATATATATATATATATATATATATATATATATATATATATATAATATATTTAAAGTAATAATAATAGTAATAAAAGTAATAACTAGATACACACATATACAATACACACATACATATATACATACATATATATAAACTTACCTAGTTACAAACCTAATACATATTTTTCAGTGTTTGATGCAAAATAAATGTCTATTTTTAAGACTATATAAACTTATTTTAATTTTTTTCTTCCAGGCATAGTTTGCATCTGTTTATATATATATATATTTAAATTACGATCAAAAATAGATAGGAATGCAAGAGAATGATAGGTTAAGGGACAAATAGGAAATCTTTATAAATCTGACATACTTTGCTTTTATTAACACTTGAGATGTGGAGGTTTATTTTCCACGAGGGTCGGCCAGGTGAAGGTGAGAGGGGGAGCACGTCGCGGCGTTTACTCGTTCCCCCACAAGAATGAGATGTGACACAAGGTCGGATTAATGTGGGGGACCCGAGGGCGTACACTCGGGCAGGGACGAAAATTCCCCTCTCTTGGTGAAAGAAATCGAAATGTGAGCATTGTAGCTGGTTGGCAATATCTTTTGGCTGATGACTAAAAATGGACTTTCGCATTTTGACTGTACACATGGGTTTCATTTGGACACCATGTGTATTTAAAGTAGTTTCCGGTTATTATTTTTAGTTACGAGGACTTGTGTATGTTTAGGTTTCATTTGTTTACTATTTGTGTATAGTTCTCTGAAAAAAAAACAAAACAAAAAAAAACAAAAAAACGCTGAGTCACCGGTAACTTCCGGCCGGGTGCGATACACTTAACCGTGCTTTCAAATTGATTTCATGCAAAAACAATTGTGTTTTCCCAATTTTTGGTGCTGTCAGAACCACCGCAAGGTAATTTTACGTCGTCCTGTGAAGTTTTGTTGAAATCGGTTGAAAAATGTAGGAAATATGATACCATATATAAACGCACACACACACACACACACACACACACACACACACACACACACACACACACACACACACACACACACACACACACACACACACACAATCTGCGTTTTATAATAAGTAAGATTTTGTGTAGAGTGCTTGATTCCGGGAAGTGTTTGAAGAATATTTTACCTTTGTTTGTTTTTAGGTTTTTGCTGTACGGTGGGTTGAAACATGATATTTCTTTTCACGTTGGCCTTTTTTAATATTCTGTGGTGAGTATGTGAGTGTTGTTGGGAATCCACTATCTTTTAGGGCTGTTTCGTAGTCTTTCTTAGCTCCGTTAAATATGATTTCATTGCAAGAATTGTCGGAAAGTTTGCGGTTAATCGATTTTGGTAATTGTTTGATTATTGAGGGCGGGTGATTGTGTTATAAAATAAAATAAGACATATCTCGGCTGATTTGCAGGCAAATAAAGTAACATACTCAAGAGCGAGAGCCGGATGTGAACGGGACAAGGCCCCGTCACAAAATGACCATATTTACGCGTTTACGCATATTCCCGACGCACGAGTTCCAGTCGAAAAATAAAATAATATTTTAAAGTGTTTCTATTTTTCGACCAATAAAAATGCTTCCCTCCTAATTATACTCGCGTCGTTTTACGAGCCCGTCAAGCCATAAAAAAAACACCATAAGAGGGGTCACACGGAAGTACAACGGCAGTCAACAGGAGGCCAGTCAGTAGTTCATTTCTGAACCGGCTGATCGGTTGAACTCTCTGCTTTCGGGCGGGGTAGGCTACGCCGAAGGGCGGATTCTTTTCGGGGAGGTAAACCGACCCTGAACCCGTTTATACGGGTTCAATGAGCATATTTTTGGCCGAGCCCACGGAGTGCTCACGTTAAAAAGGCTTTGTGTCACATGACGCCCTCGTCTTGACTGAATATCGTCAAAAGGAGACCAGGGAAGAAACCTGTCACGGTCAGGCTGAGCGGTCAGCAGCAGCCAGCGGCAGTAGCGCCACGCCAACCAGCGATAACTACTATGAGAGATCAACCCAGATCTTCAGCCGGCTTATGAACTATACCACGAGGTAGCTGTCCCAAAACCACACGTTCCTATTGAAATAAATCACGTAAATCTATTTCTACTGTTGTCATATTTCTTTCTTGCAACCATACGCTTGTCTATAACAATTGGAAGATGTGTGTATGTACAGTGGTTTATCATTGGGTTTTCTGTATGGTTTATATGTGCCTTTTCTTAGGTTGAAAAAAATCGACTTCGTTTAGGCTAGTTTTTATGTCTATGTCAAATCCGTTATTTTTAAAAATATTTATTATTAAAATTGGACGACTTCGAGAAAGACTTAACTGACCTAGTTAGAAACATAAAATTCCATAAAAAACAAGATGCATCAATTTTTATCGTTATATAGCAGTTATAGCTATTTTTTCGTCCAATTTTTGAGTTGATAGATAGATAGATAGATAGATAAAGAACGGATTTAGGTAGATATGGGCAGAATCAAATAAATAAATAGATAATGAATCAATTTAGATAGATATGAACACAATGAGACAGATAGATAATGAACATATTTATATATATATATATATATATGGGAATAGATAAATTGATACATAGATGGAAGGATGATGAATCGATTTAGAGAGATAGATATGAAGATACACACACACACCCACACCCACACACACAGAGACAGATAGCTATATATATACACAAACATATATATATATATATATACAAATATATACATATATATATATATATATATATATATATATATAGAGAGAGAGAGAGAGAGAGAGATAAAGAATCGAATTAGATAAGTGGATATGACTATAGATAGATATGAAGAAACTGAGGTAGTCATATGAATAAGATATATATATATATATATATATATATATATATATATATATATATATATATATATATATATATATATATATATATATATATATATATATATAATGAACCGATTTATATCGATTCATATGAACAAATAGATAATCACCCGATTTTGATAGGTAGATATGAACGGATAGATCAACAGACAGATAACGAAACGATTTACATAGCTACATCGGAAGATATCTGTGTGTGTGTGTGTGTGTGTCTGTCGGTGTGCCTGTCTGTGTCTGTGACTGTGTGTGTCTGTGTGTATCTATGCTCCACATTTCTCGACCGATTTCGATGAAATTGTACACACATGTTGCAAATTTACTAATGTAGGTCAAGACCAACTTTTAATCTCCAGACCCCCCGGGTTTGTCAGAAAAATCAATAAAACTGTACGACTTTTTGCAAAAACCAAGCTATACACAAACAAAATTTATGCTGGATGAGCTGATGTTCTTTGAACTTAATGCAAAGCATAACTCATGTTATGAGGTTTAAGCAGATTGCTTGATAGTTTTCCTGCAACATTGGCTTTGCGAAAAAACTGTGAAAAAATCGGGTTTTTCATACTACTCAAAATAAAACTTGAATAACTTCCTCATTTTTTATCCGATTTTCTTCAAACCATCATGCAAGAAATAAAATAGTGTGGTTTTAATCCCACTCACTTCCCCGAATATAACGAAAAAACCACGAAAAACTGTTTTTCGGCCATAACTTCTTGTTTTTTCATCCGATGCTTTACAGATTTTCCATGTAAATTACATATGACACGCAAATTGTCTTGCGTGAATGTTTGGTTTAGATTATTTCAGTTAAGACGACAAAATCTGCAACAAACTAGGTCCAAAATTGGCTTTTGCCATTTAGCCAATAGTTTCTTCATATGATTCTATTCTGAATTGACATTTGAACAAACCTTTGATTGATTTGTTTAAGACGGATTATTGAAGTGTTAAAAGGGAAATTTTCCCGAAGAACTTCTTCTTATTATTAGATTTGTGAACAATGCCATACTATTTGAAAGTTATTACAGCCATAGAAAATTTACTGAATAATTAAAACACTGAAACAATTTAACCCCGAGCAATGACCTGACAAGAAGGTTTTATTGATGGAATTTCTTTATTAAGAACAATCAAACACTTGAAAAGGACATACAGTAAAAAAGATGAAGGAGGGAGAGAAGCTTAGTATACCAATTAATGATACATGCAAGTGGGGACGTAAGCTGATATTCCTAGACAGAGGGTGCAGGTATGCAGGGGATGCAGCCTAGTACACTCGAGAACACCAGGTACCTCGGCTAGTATTATATATATTTAATATCATTATTAAATAGATAGATAGATAGATAGATAGATATGAACAGACTGAGATAGACAGATTTGAACAGACTGAGTCATATATATATATATATATATATATATATATATTAGAGAGAGAGAGAAAGAAAGAGAGAGAGGGAGAGATGAACAGATAGATACATAATGAACCAATTTACATAGATACACACATATAGACAGTTAATGGACAGATTTAGATAAATATGAACTGATAGATAAATACTGAACCGATTTAGATAGATATGTATAGATAGATAGATAATGAACCTATTTAGATAGCATTGAACAGAATGAGATAAATAATGAACCAGTTTAGATTGATATACACCGAATAAGATAGATTAATAATTGACATATTTAGATAGATACATACACAGAAAGATAATAAACCGATTTAGATAGATAGATAGATAGATAGATAGATAGATAGATAGATAGATAGATAGTGAAGAGACTGCAATTGATAGATGGATAGATATATAATGAAGGGACTGTAATAAATAGATAGATAAATAGATACATAGATAGATAGATAATGAAGGGACTGTAATAGATAGATAGATAGATAGATAAATAATGAAGAGACTGCAAGAGATAGATAGATAGATAGATAGATAAATAATGAAGAGACTGTAATTGATAGATAGATAATGAAAAGACTGCAATAGATAGATAATGAAGAGATTGTAATAGATAGATAGATAGATAGATAGATAAATAATGAAGAGACTGCAAGAGATAGATAGATAGATAGATAATGAAGAGATTGTAATAGATAGATAATGAAGAGACTGTAATTGATAGATAGATAATGAAAAGACTGCAATAGATAGATAGATAGATAGATAGATAATGAAGAGGCTGTAATAGATAGATAATGAAGAGATTGTAATAGATAGATAGATAGATAGATATATAATGAAGAGACTGTAATTGATAGATAGATAGATAATGAAGAGGCTGTAATAGATAGATAGATAGATAGATAATGAAGAGGCTGTAATAGATAGATAGATAGATAATGAAGAGATTGTAATAGATAGATAGATAATGAAGAGACTGTAATTGATAGATAGATAGATAATGAAAAGACTGCAATAGATAGATAGATAGATAGATAGATAGATAATGAAGAGACTGTAATTGATAGATAGATAGATAGATACATAGATAATGAAGAGATTGTAATAGATAGATAGATAATGAAGAGGCTGTAATAGATAGATAGATAATGAAGAGACTGTAATAGATAGATAGATAGATAATGAAGATGCTGTAATAGATAGATAGATAATGAAGAGGATGTAATAGATAGATAGATAGATAGATAGATAGATAGATAATGAAGAGATTGTAATAGATAGATAATGAAGAGATTGTAATAGATAGATAGATAGATAATGAAGAGACTGTAATAGATAGATAGATAGATAGATATGAACAGACTGAGATAGAGATATAGATAGATAATGAAGATAAATAAAGTAGATGCATATGAACAAAAATAAATAGAAATATAGATAATTAAGTAAATCGTTAAATTTGAACAGAATGTAATATTCCCTCAAAAACCAGTCAACTCTTGTTCAGCCTCAAATGCGTTCCAGTCATAACACTTCCAAACCACTACTTATATATCTACTGCATGGAGCCATTTAGTTCGACCCTCACTGCATTCTGAATTGCACTCAATGGCTGCAAAAAAAAAATAAATAAATAAAAAAAAAAAAAAAAAATAATGTCAAGTGCAGCTGCGTACGAGTAGTCCATACCAGTGTTGAAAAGAAACAAATTGGATCCTGTGAATTCTGGAAGATCATCAACCAAATCATGAACAGAGGTAAGGCTGCCGTGCTCACAATTATAAATGGCTTCGAGGTCATATCTTCCTCGACAGATAAGGCAAACCTCTTCGCCTCTATCTTGCCTCTAACTCAACGCTAGACTAAAAGACCATGCCCTCTCCTATTTCCCACATTTTACTGAGCACAATCTCAGTAATATTGTCATTAGAGCACGAGAGGTCTCTAGAGTTATCAAAAGCCTTGTACCTAAGGAAGCCACTGGCCCAGGCAAAATTCCTTAAGAATATCAACACGGAATTATTCCCAATCCTAGCAAAGTTATTCAACGGCTGCTCGAAGGAGAAATCCTTCCCTAGCCCGTGGAAGGTGTCAAGCATGTGCTCAGTTTTCAAGAACGCGGGCGTGTGATCTCAACATCACCCACCACCCACTAGTACAGACCCTCAGTATCATCAGTAAGCTTTTTGTGGCCATAATCAATAAGAAGGTCGTCGACCACCTAGAAAAGAACAACCTCTTCAGCGACGAGCAGTATGGGTTTCGGTCGGCCCGATCCACTGCTGATGTCCTAACTACCATCACTCACAGAATCACTGAGGCTCTTAGCGACAAACACACCTCGAGAACCATAGCGTTAGATATATCAAAGGCCTTCGACAAGGTGTGGCATAAAAGTTTACTACACAAGCTCTCTAGTTATGTAAGGGTCTTCTTGATCATAAAATTCTTTCTAACAGGTAAGGTAGTTATCAATGACCAGTCCTCCGGAGCCCTAGTGGTCAACGTAGGCGTCCCCCAAGGGCCACTCCTTGGACCAAGCCTCTTTTTGATCTGCATAAATGATCTGTCTAAGAATATACTCAAACCATTTGTAAACATCTATACCGATGACACGACTATACACGGGCGCACCTCTAAAAGTCTCGATAGTCAGAGATTGGAGACTGATCTTTCTTCTGATCTTGCAAAAACTATCCAATGGTGTAAAAACTGACTGGTCACATTCAATGCCTTTGAAGACCAAAATAGTTACATTTCATAATCGCCGATCTGACCCTGAACTACCACCAATCAGGATGAACGGAAGTCCTTTCGGGGAAGCACGTTAACTTGAAAGATATTTGGGCCTCAAACTCAAACTCGACCTCAAGTGGAACTCGTACATACAATCCAATATTTTTAAGGATGCAGGCAAAATAGTCGGTTTCCTGTACCGCCCCATTAAGTACCTAACTCCTCCTGCTATCCTCTACAAGAGGCAGACCAGGCCAGAAATGGAAGACTGTTGTTATTATTTGTGCAGGAGCTGCCCAGACCTCACTGTCCAGCCTTGATATTATTCTTCATCCCACCGTATCGGTGAGAAGTAAGTTCCACTTGAGCTTCTACTTCCCGCGAAACACTCACCTGTGGAACCGACTCCCAACAGGATTTTCCCCGATCATTACAATCTATAAGCTGTTCAAGGCCAGGGTTAACCGTTACCTTCCATTCCTATACAGACAAATGGTCTCCTAACGTAACCCTCTACCTCGAGTGGCTACCGCGGATTGTAAAGGGTGAACAAGATAATCAACAGACTGAGATAGATAGATAGATAGATAGATAGATAGATAGATAGATAGATAGATAATGGACCGATTTAGATAGATATGAACAGACTGACATAGATAGATAGATATGAACAGACTGACATAGATAGATAGATAGATAGATAGATAGATAGATAGATAATGGACCGATTTAGATAGATATGAACAGACTGACATAGATGGATAGATAGATATGAGCAGACTGACATAGATAGATAGATAGATAGATAGATAGATAGATAGATAGATAGATATGTACATGGACAGCAGAATGAGGATATTGTTCATTTCAAAATCCCTGGAAACCATCCGAATCGACAGCTACTTAAAGAATGTCCGAGGACACAATATGCGATAAGTTGTGGTTTTAGCAACAAACACGAGGACATTAGTCTGAATCTAAATATACCCTTTACTTTACCATATAAGTTCCATACGCTCTTTTGTGAGCTGTTTCTTTGAGCAAAATATTGGCAGGGTCCTATATGCCTTCAAATACAACATGGAAAATGTTGAACGTCTTGTATTTTTGTTTTTAATCTGTCATAAAAACACAGACGAGCACAACGTGAAGATCAAACTTTCTACATTATTCGAACTATTGTCTTCTTCTTTTTCGCAATATTTATTATAACGTTTCGGCCGTTGTACGCTCCGGCCTTCTTCAGGTGGTTGGAATGTCGAACTGAACCCTTTATTTTACTCACTGGGGTAGACTGTTCTAGTTCCACGTGCCATGTCTAATGGATGTAAGTTATCAGTTATCTCCTGTTAATTTCCCTCTCCAAGTTCTCTTAACCAGGTATTGAACTCACACTCTTTGGGTCCTGTCAGTGGATCTAACGCCTTTATCCACTGTGCCATGTGTCCTTGAGAACATTTGTGCATGAATTTCTGGGTATTATAAACCTAATGTCTTCATCAACCATTTTTTACCAGTGCTTATATTGCAATTTTTGCTGTTATCATACATGTTATTACCAGAGCTCATATTGCAATTTTTGTTGTTATCATCGCTTTTCTCTGGCTCTCCTTATTACTGGTTCCCATAAACTTTTAACTCAAAACTAATGGCTAACAGCTACTAAACAGTATGTTTCAAAGCATCTCACTCCCCCCGTTTAGCTTTATCTGGCAGAGGAGATCAATTGTGGAGCAATCAGTGAGGATCGAACTCACTAGTTATTATTTGCAATAAAATGTTAGCTTATCTATCGGGATGTGTAACGAATATCGTCAGCGAAAGTGGAATTCTGTGAGTAGAGTTCAAATTCCAGGCTAGTCAGTTGCGTTCCCTTTCGCACAAAGGCCCTTAGAAAAGGCATGAATCCGTCTCTCCCCTTGGTAGTAGGGTAGACCGGCTTCTATAGCTGTGTCTAAGAAAAAGAAAATGCTGAACACTGAATTGAAAAGGGAAACCACTTTATCATCTTTCCCAAGAAGTCATGGCAATTCACAGATAATACAGAAAAGAAATCTATGGAGAATGCAACAGGAAACCACTCCACCATCTTTCCCAAGATGACAATTCACAAGCAATAAAGAAAAGGAATCTGTGGAAGAAAGGCAATGGGAAACCACTCCACTATCTTTCCCAAGAAGTCATGGCATATATATAATGCACGCATACACTATGGAAAAAAAACTTGCACTAATGAAAATTGCATATAAAAAAAAGAAAAATCGAGAAGTATAAGTAGTCAATTGGTGATACCCTCTGATGAGTGGACGGAATAATTCCCGGAGGGGGGGGGTCAGTTTACGAAACTGTGGAGTCATGATGCTGATAGTAACATCAATCAGCTAAATGACAAACCTTTTACTTGTATTAAATTTTTTCTCTCTCTCTCTTATATATATTATACATGTATGGATAAGAACAAATAATTGAATAATTGACTCCATAAAGCAAATCTCATCTGGAAATCACCTCCTCCTAAGGATCCTATTCCACCCGAAGTGTATAAGCATGGTGGCCAAAAGTTGGTAAAAAAGTTACATCTTCTTTTCGTGGAGATATAGAAAGCAGGCTGTGTCCCACAGGATTATAAAGATGCCTCTATCAAACACCTCTACAAAAACAAGGGTTCCAGGTGTGTCTGTGATAATCATCGGAGGATATCACTACTTTCATTTGCAGGCAAAATCCTAGCTAGACTGATTCTAAACAGAATCATTATACACCTTGTTGAATCGCAGTGTGGTTTTCGGTCAGGTCGTGGCACCATTAACATATTTTCTCTTCGTCAAGTTGCAGAGAAGGTTCGTAAGAAAAACCAGGAGTTGTACATGGTGTTTGTGGACCTGACGAAGGCCTTTGACACTGTGAATCGAGAGACTCTTTGGCAATCTTGAGGAAACTCGACATACCTGAAAACATGCTAAAGGTCATCATCTCCTTTCATGAAGGAATGAAAGCTAATATCGTGTCTGATGGTATGATGTCAGAATCCTTTGATGTCACAAATGGCACCAGGCAAGGTTGTGTCATGGCCCCTATCCTTTTTGCCCTATTCTTCTCGGTGATGCTGAAATATGCATTTGCAGACACAGAGAGTGGCATCAAGTTTCAGTTTCGAACAACTGGTGGTCTCTTCAATCATCAGCGCTTCAAAGCCAAGACCCACCTTCATACGCAAATTATTCGTGATTTGTTGCAGATGCTGCTCTTGTAGCGACATCCTTTGAGGAGGCCCAACATCTAATAAACCGTTTCTCTGCTGCATGTAAAGCCTTTGGTCTTACACTTAGCATAAAGAAAACTGAAGTAGTGCACCAACCGTGTCCTACTCCGAAGCAATTGCGTGGTGAGAAACAAAAACCACCAGTCTACAAATTTCCAGAGAGGCCATTGAAAGTAGAAGACAAAGCCCTGAACTATGTAAAGTCTTTCAACTATCTTGGTAGCAAAGTCAACTACAGTGGAACTTTAGATGATGAAATCATGCATCGGATTGCTAAGGCTACCAGTGCTTTCGGCAAACTTCGCCATCGCTTATGGAATGAGCAGGGTATTCGACTGGATACGATAATCCGGGTTTACAGAGCTGTTGTACTTGCTATAGTCGTGGACTCCATACAGGTACCATATACACCAGCTGGATGTTTTCCATAAAAGCTGTCTGCGTGCAATCTGTGGAGTTAACCTTCAAGATAGAAGCATCTAACGTAGACTTATTTAACAGGTGTACTATTGGAGGAATCGAGAGTTTTCTCATACAGTCTCAGTTACGGTGGACTGGTGATGTCTTGAGAATGTCTGATGACAGGATACCCAAGATCCTAATGTACAGCCAGTTAGATCAGAGCTACAGGAATGTAGTACGCCCATGGCTAAGATACAAAGACAAGCTGAAAAGCAACTTGTCAGCTGTGAATATACCACATAACATCCTTGAGCGCTTTGGCTTGGAAAGGGTAGAATGAAGATCAACGTGTTTTAGTGGACTCAGCATTTTCAATCTGCTTGTCTGGATCATCTTCAAGAAGAGAGAGCAAGAACTAAAAGGTCAGCCAATCAAAATCTGAATCAACTAAGCTGTCAGATCCTCATACGTCGAAACCGACGGGAGAGTCCATTATTATAATTATATATATATATATATATATATATATATATATATGGTAAACAATATAGTTTAAAGGTATGATATATTCATGGATAAATCAGGTAATAGATCATGTGTAAATATAAGTTGGACACTGAGGTCAACACCGAGTGGTGACAGTCTGTTTAATATTTTGATTGCCTGAAAATTACGTTCAAGCATGAAACAGACTGTTGCTACTCGGTGTTGATCTAATATATATATATATATATATATATATATATATATATATATATATATATATATGCACATACAGTCTAATCCAAAAGTACGGGGACGACAAGGCCTATTCCATTGTTTTTGTTGTTCACTGAAGACATTTGGGTTTTTAAGTTCAAAAGATGAATACGAGACAAGAGTTCAAAATTTCATCTTTTATTTCCTGGTATTTACATTTAGATGTGTTAAACAACTTAAGACATACCACCTTTTGTATCAGATCCCCACCTTTTTTAGGTGGGCAAAAGTAAAGAAACAGTCTTAAAGTAAATGACATTTAATATTTGGTTACATAACCCTTGCTTGCAATAACTGCATCAAGTCTGCGACTCATTGGCATCACCAAACTGTTGCATTCTTCATTTGTGATGCTTTTCCAGTGTTTTAATGCCGCTTCTTTCAGTTCTTGTTCGTTTCAGGAGATGAAATGTAGACTCTGTTGGCTTATGGTCGCATGATTGACTTGGCTAGTCTAAAACTTTACACTTTTTCCCCTGATGTTGTATTGGCAGTATGTTTTGGGTTACTGTTACTGTCCTGCTACATGATAAACTTCCATCAGGTTAGTTTGAATGCATTTCTCTGGAAATTGGCAGACAAAATGTTTCTGTAGACTTCTGAATTCATTCTGCTCTTAGCATTATTAGTTGCATCATCAATAAATATGAATGATCCTGTTCCAAGAGCAGCTATGCAAGCCCAAGCCAAGATACTGCTCTCACCATGCTTCACAGATGAGCTTGTATGCTTTGGATCATAAGAAGATCCTTTCTTTCTTCACACTTTAGACTTTCCATCACTTTGGTAAAGATTAATCTTAGTCTTATTAGTCCATAAGACATCATTCTAGAACTTTTGTCGCTCCTTGCAAATTCCAATCTGGCCTTCAGATTCTTACAGCTGATGAGTGGTTTGCATCTTGTGGTATGGCCTCTATATTTCTGTTCTCGAAGTTTTCTTCGAATGATAGATTGGAAAACCTTCACCACTGCACTGTAGATGTTGGTGATGTCACTGACTGTTATTTTGGGGTTTTTTTTTCACTGCTTTCACAATGTTTCTGTCATCAACTGCTGTTGTTTTCCTTGACCGACCTGTTCTATGTTGGTTGTTCAGTACACCAGCAGTTTCTTTCTTTTTCAGGACATTCCAAATTGCTGTGTTGGCTATACCCAATGATTGTCCAATGGCTCTGATCGATTTTCCTTTTTTCTTAGTTTCAAAATGGCCTGTTTTTCTTCTATAAACAGCTCTCTCACCTTCATGTTGGTTAATCCTTTTTAACAAGAAACGCAGTCTTTACAGGTAAAAACCAGGGTTAAAACCAAGAGTAGACATGCAGAGCTATTTAATGTTTAAACAGTCAAACTAAATGGCAACACCTGGACAACAAGAAACACCTGTCAGTCACGTGTTCCAATAGTTTTGTTCACTTGAAAAATGGGTGGGGTCAAACAAAAGGTGGTACATCTTAAGCTGTTTAGCACATCTAAATGTAAATAGTAAGAAATGAAAGCTGAAATCCTGAACTCTTGTCTCAAATTCATATTTTGATCTTAAACCCAAAATGTCTTCAGTGGACAACAAAATCAAAGAAATTGGCCTTGCCGTCCCAGTACTTTTGGAGGAGGCACTATATATGACAAAGACTATGTTTGACCCGACAACAGTCGACCAGTTTATTTTTCGGCAGTCTTTAATTACAATGCTTAATGTCGAGGGAGAGAGAATTAATCATAGTAATAATAAATAAATTGTTTAATTATCTCTGTTCGGAGTTTTGCAGATTCTGGAATTTGTCTCCTGATGAGTGGATGTTATATCCTACGAAACTACGAGTAGAGATAAGTAAAGATTTTACTTACTTAATAACTTAATATCAAAACAAATCCGTGACCAATATCATAAGTTTTCATTTCGTCTGACGTACAGCTTTTGCTTTGTTTTTATTTCAATTATTAGTATTTTCAGATTACATTGTTAAAAGATGGAAGATAGAAAGAAAACGAGAAAGGGTGAAACAGGGAGAGAAAAGAGACAGAGAGATGAAAGCGAAAAATAGAGAATAAGGAAGAAAAGAGAGAGAGAGGGGGGAATGGGCAGGCAAAAGGGTTTAATGATGGAGTGTAGGGAGATCGATCTTCACTGGATGTCCCATTCATTATTGCTATTTCATTCCAGAATAAGTTCGACTTTTCCGTCTTTCTTTCTAGATAGATAGCTAGATAGATATGAACAGGCGACAGATATGTAGATAGATAGATAGATAGATAGATAGATATGAACAGACTGAGATAGATAGATAGATAGATAGATAGATAGATAGATAGATAGATATGAAAAACATTGATAATGAGAAGACGCCGACAGATAAAGATGAAAACATACACACACACACACACACACACACACACACACACATATTATAAATTAACTGATTTAAAATATAGTTTCTTCGCTACACAGAAATTACCATGTTTCAAAAACCGAAGCTAAAAACTTCAAAAATCAGTTAATTTTTAAATCAGTTAATTTATGCTCTGTAAATTTACATTGAGCACTGTTTTGTAAAAATAACAATAAGAACACCGGATTATATATCTTACTGTTCTTTTTTTTTTTTATTTATATATATATATATATATATATATATATATATATATATATATATATATATATATATATATCCGATGTATGTGGTTTTTAAAGTAACATTAAAAAGTAAAATGTTTGTTAGTATTTTCAAGCCTACCCTTTCATTTCCTGCATATCAACGATCGACCTCAACTCACTGCCGCCTACTGTCTGCTACTCTAACACTCGTGTGGATGGAAAGCATACGTCTGTATACTTTCGTATTGTACACACAAGTGTCTCCCCCACCCCTATTCAACTTATACATCGTTTGTGCACACATTGTGGGCTGTACATCATTCTACAGTACATCATATGCACACACACACATGTACATGTGTGTGTGTGCATATGCGCCTGTGTTCTGAAATCTATCTATTTCTCTCGTAGTTGCTTGCTTCATTTTACTTGAAATGTTAAGTAAGCGTACAACATGGCCGAATGGAGGTGGGAAGATTGTGTTACGCCAATCTTCTAAAGAAGTAGATATATCCAGCTCGTTGCCTAGAAAATAAATAGCACCTTACTGATGATAAATGTCTTCTTTTTTTTTTAAATGAACTCCTCGCGTGTATGTGCGTGGAATTTTTTTAACATATGTCTGTCTTTTTAAAACTGGTACAGTACACTTATTTCTTCTTTTCTTCTTCTTCTTCTTCTTCTTCTTTAACCCTCACTCTTTCCTTCCATTTGAATCGTCCTTTTATTTTATATGTTCTTTCTTTTTCTCTGGAGTCTGAGACCTGAAAATAGAGATTTAAACCGAGCGAGTGAAAAGTATGATTGAAAAGCCAGCACAAGGCGCATAGTGTTTGTTTTGTATTGACACTAAAGGCACAGTGAAGTACTGTTTAAAACGAGAGAAAAAGTATTGGAAGAAGGAAGAGGAAGAGAGAGGAACTATATTACTACTACTAACCATCATTTTCAGTTTATATAGCACAAAAGGAGAGAATGATGCCCACAACACAGTTAGTAGTACTGTAAATAAATGTGAATAGTTTTTACTACTGTAAACCTGCAAACGTACACAACCTTGCAGGTTGTTTTTGAACATCATAAAACACCCTCTTAAAAACGCGTTGTTAGACCAAAACCTGGTATATTTTTAGCCAGTGTAGCAAAGTTAAAAAAACCATAGACAGTTTCCATTGAAAGGAATAGCCTACAGTAGTATCTTGTCTCGCAGAGATCACTAATAATCACCATACGACTGTTACCTTGTGTCATACTTAAGTTATTAAGTTAAATCTTCATTTGTTTCTTTAAGTTAAACTTCTGTTTCGCATAATATTTTTTACGCGTATAGCCAATAACAGATCAGGAGTAACTACAAGGATAAATCTATTTTTGCTCTACTTTAAGAAGCTATGTTCCCCCTGGTTTAAGGGAGTGCCTGACAATCGAGTTTTCGTAACTAGCGCTTGCAATGGAACCTCAGTCTATTTCAGACTGATGTTTTATCACTTAAGCTATACAAAGGAGGAGGAGGAGAATAAGAGAAAAAGGAGGAGGTAAAGAAGAATAAGGAGGAGGAGGAGGACAAAGTGGAAAAAGAGGAGGAGAATGCGGAAAAAGAGGAGAAGTAGAAAGAAGAGGAGGGGAGAAGAGGAAGAAGAATGTAATGAAAGAGGAGAAAAGAAGAAAGAAGAAGAGAAGGAGGAGAAGAGAAAGAAGAAGGTGAAGAAAGAGGAGGAGGAGAAAGAGGAAGAGAAGAAGAAGAATAAGAAGAAGAAGAATAAGAAGAAGAAGAAGAAGAAGAAGAAGAAGAAGAAGAAATATATTATTATTATTATTTCTATTTCTTCTTCTTCTGACAGGTACATAATACCTATGCACCTATCAGTCAAGCTAGCTGCTAGGATGTTATTCATTTTAAACTGCTGAAGGAACTTGATATCTTTTTTAAATTTTATCTCCCACCTTGAGTTAGTAATATTTTTCAGTAAACCATTTATTTTCGTTTGATCTCATCTTTGAACAGAAATATTGTGATTTTTATTTTAGTGTAAAAAAATTAAATATATAAATCAGTCAAAAGGTTTTTTAATACTAGCAGAACATAATTTGAATAACCCTAGAAAATATTATTAATAATGATTTTTACTCAGTGTGGTTTAGATGTGGTACAAGGGAGCAAATAGGAAACACGCAGTGAGGATCGAACTCACTACTCAGGCATAATTGATCCAGCGAGACACCATGTTGAAACGCCTTCTTTTATTTAATAATGTGATTTAGATGTGACACAAGGCCGAAAGTATGGAGCATTTAGTTAAGATCAAACTCACTATTCAGTTATAATTGATCTCTAGAGAGACAAGCTTGCTAATGTCAAATTGCACGTGACACAAGGCCGTAAATATGGAGCACCCTATCAGGACCAAATTCACTACTCAATCGTAATTGATCTGAGACTAGCTCATGAACCATAACACAACGTTGAAGTGTCCAAGAAAAATTCTATTTATCCGTCTTGTGAAAACTATAGACATTCATAATTTAAAAAATCACATGGTTCAAGGCGCTTTCCATATGAGGAGAACTTGTTCTATTGATGAGAGAAATATGTTTTTTTTTTGTTTGATTGACATTGATGTCGATTTTTTGTTTCTTGTTATGTATGAATTATTAGGACATTTTGTATTCTATATTTTATGGGGAACAAAAGAAAAGAAAAAAAGTTTTCTCATTAAGCAAAAAAAAAATAGTAATTTTGTTCTGTGCTATAAATACTTAGTACGTACGTTTTTAGTCTCCAAAGAAATCGAGTTTAGAAGCAAAAGACCACGGAGAGAAGGTAAAACAAATAATGAAGCCTTTCTTTAACAAGAACTTTTTGTAAGAGGCATTTTGAAATCTTTACAGTATTTAGTATTGTTGGTTATTGTTTTTAAAATAGTAGAAGAATTTTAAAAAATAACAAAAATTACATCAATGCATTTTTGTGAAAGAAAAAACAAAAATTGTCAGCAATATATTTTTGTAAAAAAAAAATATTACCAGTAATACATTTGTAAAAAAAAAAAAATTACCTACAATATATTTTGCAAAAAAAATAAAAATTACCAGCAATAGATTTTTGTAAAAAAAAAACAGTGACTAACAATACATATTTGTAGTAAAAGCAAAAATCATGATCATTACATTTTTGTAAAAAAAAATAAAATAAAATAAAATAAATTATCTACAATATATTTTTGTAAAAAAAAAAAAAAAAAAAATTACCAGAAATACATTTTTGTAAAAAAAAACATAACAAAATTACCAGCAATAGATTTTATAAAAAGAAAAAAATCATACAATTAACAGCAAGAATTTTTGTAAAAAATACAAAAAATTATCAGCAACACGTTTTTGAAAAAAAAAAAAAAAACCCAAAAAATAGAAAAAAAATATCAGCAATACATTTAAAAAAAAAAAAACCCAAAAAATACAAAAAAATTAACAGCAATACATTTTTGCAAAAAAAAAACCAAAAAAAAAAAATTATCAGCAATACATTTTTGCAAAAAAAAAAATTGATTCAATACATTTGTCAAAGAAATTACTAATGCTTCCAAGAAAATTAGATTTCGGCAACAAAAGACCCCTAAATATTTGATAAGCCAGTAAACAAACAAGCAAGCAAAATTTCTTTCGATTAGTCAATGTATGGTTATTTTAGATGTGAACAACGGATGGATGAATGGACTAATGGAAATCACATAATTTTATATATAGATATTATTGGAATTGCGATTTTTTTTTTATTCCTGGAAGCAATTACTTACCTACTGGGTTTACCAAATCTTTACCCCCCAAATTTGTGAAAGGATCTTACAAACATCCTGTCAAGTTTTATCAAACATTGTAATGTAAATTCAATAATGCTAGCGAAAATCTGGAATGAAGATTGCTAGTGAAATTATCTTCTCTGGGTGCCTATCATAGAGCAATGATTAGAGAGTTCGATTTAGTGAGTTTGATCCACACAGGCAGCTATCCAGGGATGGTGCATTCTAGAACAAAGCACATGCAGAAAAGAAAAACTATGTAGATAAAGAAATTTAATATATAAAAAAAGAAAAAAACTCAAATAATCCCAGTTAATTTTGAATGTTGCTGCTATCTCTGGTCTGATGCTCCTGCTATATATTTAGAGATTCTTGATAAAATCCAAAGAAGAATCTGCAATATTATTGGTCCTGACCTGGTGTCTTGGCTTTCTCACTGCTGTAACTTAGCTTCCCTGAGCCTTTTCCATAAATACTTTCATGGTAATTGTTCCGATAAACTTTTTTCTATGATATCTAGGGAACTAGTTAGGACTTCATAGAGACTTTGAGGTATTATTGTGACTGTAGTAAGAATGGTAAGTAAGGATGTGTTGTTTTGATGTAAGGAATACTGCAGTATGTTTGAGTCAGTAATTGCAATTAGCTAAGTTTAATATAAGACTGATAGAAGACCAGCCTTCCCCTTATCCCCCCTTTTTGGCCTTGTGCCATATTTTTATATTTTTCAAAATAAATATTTCTTTTTTCTTTGGTACCTTGACTTTATGAACTTAAGTGCAGGACTAGATTGGCAGCTAGGTCTCATATTTTTACAGCTGAAAAGTCTAGATGTAACCATAAGTTTTGTGCTTACAGTTTCTCTTCCCACAATTTTTGCTTGCGGAAATGCCTTCAGCTTCTTACTTTCCAGTCAAGTCTGATCTTCAAAAATGTAAATCCAGTGTTAGTTGTCATCTTCTGTCTTCTTAATTTCCCATTCTTTTATTGTCCTCACTTTTTAATAATGATTTTTCTTAGATTCTTTCACTCGCAGTAACCCCCCTCCTCCTTCCGTCTTAGTGGCTTTATCACCTTGACTGGAGTGAAATGATTAAAAAAGTAACCATTTAAAATTTTTTTTTCCTGAAGATGTCTTTTGTTTTAAATCCTTAATTTATTGATTATGTGATAAAACAGGGGGGTATTTATTTAATGTTAATATAGGCGCCTCGGTGTGGAACAATGGTTAACGAATTAGTCTAATTAACTAGTAGTTAAGGAGTAATTTCGATTTTTACTAGGTGTCTTGTGTTAAAACTAAACTAAATATACATACTGTCGGAGTTACCTCCTCCTTCCATCCTTGAACCGGCGGAGGAACAGGTCATTTCGACCTTGACCTCTCATTCATGCTCCTTACACACTCTTAACACGTCAGAGGGACCAGCAAATCCCCTTTTTAGTTAGGCTATATTACAAACCTAGTTGTAATATACTTCTAGTCATTTTTAGACCATAGTTATCTTTGGCTAACCTTGTAGTATTTTTTTATAGAGACTTTTCGGTTAGCTTAGCCAATTTCTCTTGCTGGTCCCCCTCGACACAAGACAGTGATTTCTCCCAAGCTTTGTGGAGGCCGCAACGGTCGTCTACGCAGGCCCCTTGGCCTTCATTGGCCAAGGGCGCCGATCTACGGGCTGTGTATTAAGTTACGCTCCCATTTCTTTTTGTCTGCCAACTTGACGATAGTTGGGAACTTTCTTTCTCTCTCTTCCTTCCCAACACGTCAAGTTGGCATCCAGGCAATGACAAACAACGTTGGCAACACGAACTGCTGCAACAAGTTGGCACCCCGGCAATGACAAACAACGAGTTGGCAACACGAACTACAGCGTCAAGTCGGCACCCCGGCAACGACTCAGCTTCAACAACCAACAAAGATCATCCTGGCATCACTCAACATCAACAACCACCAAGCGATCATCCTGGCAACAACTCACATCAGCGTCAACCCCCCAACAACGATGATCCTAGCAACTGCCAACCTCGACCATCAATGCCTGCACTAAAACTTCTGCAGCATCCGGCTCACTCCTGCAGTATCCAGCACTCCTGCACCTTCCAGCACTCCTAGAGCATCCAGCACTCCTGCACCTTCCAGCTCACTCCTGCACCTTACAGCACCTCCACCGTTTCCGACCATCTTCATTTCCTTTTCCTTTTAGAATAAACCTCTATATATCATATATATCCTCGTTCTGTCGTCCATATTGTTTCACGGTCAGATTTAACGTCTTCAAAAATGTTAGCGGGCCTCTTGTGACCTCGTTCACCCCTTTCCGTGATACGGGGCCACTGGACCGCCCGCTACAATACCTATAGGCCAAAGGTTTGGGGCCAACCTATAGATTCCAATGAATCGTTGGCAGGTTGCATTCCTTTTTCACTATCAATTCACTCATTTCGTACCAGATTGACTTGTCTTTTATTCGAAAACTTGCGCTTATTTTTTAGATTTCAGAATTCACCCCAATATGGTTTTAACAATTGAAGAACGTGTTTTTCTTGTCGAACATGTATTTCGAGAAGGTCCTAGATACACAGATTTGGTGCAACATCGTTTTGCTGGTGAATTTTCAGATACATCTGTTCCACATTGTAATGCAGTTCGTAACGTTGTTGATAAATTTCACGAAACAAGATCAGTAGACGATGCCAAATGTTGTGGAAGGCCAGCAACGCTATCGGAGGCGAAACTGTTGGATATTTCTGACAGTATGCAGCAGAGTCCAAGAAAATCATTACGAAAATTAACGCAGAAGCAAGATATTGGTCATAGAACTGCTCATTAGGCCGTCAGACAAAAATTAAAATTCTTCCTATACAAAATAATGGCGATACGAGAAAGCAGCGATAACAGAGTTATTATTATTTCAAGTGAGCAACATTGTTTATAATTTTCATTCATATTCTACTTTCGTATTCTATATTGAAACATGTCTGGTAATGAAAATATAAGTGCATAGTGACTTACCGAATGACCTACATATACATTAAAAATAATAACAAAATTATCCGGTGACCACATAATGTTTCCTTTAAATTTTAGCTCTTTATACCCAATCTACCATACTGGATAATAGTAATTTTAGGGCTGGCGGATTTAAAATTTTAGTTAACCCCTTCTCTAACAAAATGGACGTCATGCACTAATTGGTTGAATAGTTTCAGCATCCTATGCTAGGAGGAGTTTTTTTAATCAATTCACCTCAAGCAAGGTGATAATGCCATTAAGTTATGCTAGGGGCTACTGGGAATGAAAATGAAGGAACCGGAAATCCAATACTAAAAATGAAACAGCAGTTAAACCAAAGACGGTAGAAAACTATTAAATCCAGAGATTGGTACTAAACTTGGAGTAGAACTTCCATTTTTTAAAACAGTGTTTATTTCGTCTACCGGCTTTTACATTGGAGAAAAATTAATAAAGATAATGTGCCTTCTTCGTAAGAAGAAATACCGCCTGGTCTGGCATGCTTTAGACCGGCCAAGCTCGGTTGTAATAGTATATATATATATATATATATATATATATATATATATATATATATATATAAGGATAATAAGAAAACGGACACTTTAATTATCCATTTCGATTATAATTTATTTCGTGAACACCGAGGTGTTCAACTCTTCAGATCGAAATCTCCTACGTAAATGGAAAAAAAATACACCGGACAGACACATTAGATTAGGTGAATCGACTACTACCAACCACTAATCCCTTAGCTCTTTCTTTACCCAGCTCACTCTCTCACCCGCCCCCCCCCGCCCCCGCTACCAATCGCGTTCGCAAAACAAATTCCAATCGAAATAGATAATTAAAGTCTCCGTCTTCTTCTTATTATTATAATGTTTTGTAGTCTCCCTGGATTTATATCCTCCTCGGAATAATCCCTTCCAGTCACAAACTGGTACGACACACACACACACACACACACACATATATATATATATGAATAGACAAAATTAAACTATTTGCGTTTCGTCCTCTGATTGACTTTATTAAGGCAAATATTTGGCTTGATAATGTCCATCGAGATGCTTTGGTAAAGAATAGTTTGTCCTTTTGTCTTTAATCATATTACCTTTTACATATATATTTTTAGCATAAAAGCCGCCCAATCGAGTGGCATTTCAGCTAGCTTCTGCGGAGGACATTTGATTGGGCCTTTGGCTTGTTCAGGAGTTTGAGAATCCCTAAGTCTTTGCATACTCTCAATACTGGAAGCTCTCCTGGCTGCCGTTTGATCTGGGTTTTCATTCTTTTCCTCGCTGCAACCTTAGCTCTTTTGATTGAAATCTGCTCCTCCTCTGTTGGCAGAGAATTCTTTACGCAAGGTATACTGCTTCCGTATGCGATAGGCGACAATAAATTACAAAAGAACTCAAAATTGATTGCTGCATTTAAGTATTTCATTAATATTTAATCTTACCTTTTAAAAGTTCAACGATAATTCTTTTGTCGCCATTTAATTTAAAGACAGTTCTATTATCGGCCTTTAACCAAGCACATGAAACTTCAAAGAATTTTCTCTCCCCAGTCCAAGAAAGCTAAATATTTCAAATTATCTCTCTTCGTTTACTTTTGAATATATGCAACCGTATATCCCTTCGATGAGCAACGAACTCACTTACCTTTCCATTAAGTATTTTTTAGTATTATTTTGTGTGCAATTTTGAGTATTATTTTGTGAGTATTTTTATGCATTATTTTGTGAGTATTTTTGTGTATATTTTTGAGTATTATTTTGTGGGTATTTTTGAGAGTATTATTTTGTGAGTATTTTTGTGTATTATTTTGTGAGTATTTTTTAGTATTATTTTGTATTTTGAGTATTATTCTGTGAGTATTTTTGAGTATTATTTTGTGAAAATTTTTGAGTATTATTTTGTGAGTATTTTTGAGTATTATTTTGAGTGCAATTTTGTGTATTATTTTGTGAGTATTTTTGTGTATTATTTTGTGTATTATTTTGTGAGTATTTTTGAGTATTACTTTGTGAGTATTTTTGTGTATTATTTTGTGAGTTTTTTTAGTATTATTTTGTGACTATTTTTGTGTATATTTTGTGAGTATTTTTTAGCATTATTTGGATTTTGAGTACTAATCTGTGAGTATTTTTGAGTATTATTCAGTGAGTATTTTTAGTATTATTTTGTGAACATTTTTGAGTATTATTTCGTGAGTATTTTTGAGTATTATTTTGTGAGTATTTTGTGTATTATTTTGTGAGTATTTTTGAGTATTACTTTGTGAGTATTTTTGTGTATTATTTTGTAAGTATTTTTGTGTATTATTTTGTGAGTATTCTTGAGTATTATTTTGTGTGCAATTTTGGGTATTATTTTGTGAGTATTTTTGTGTATTATTTTGTGAGTATTTTTGAGTATTATTTTGTGTGCTATTTTGAGTATTATTTTGTGAGTATTTTTGTGTATTATTTTGTGTGTATTTTTGAGTATTATTTTTTGAGTATTTTTGTGTATTATTTTGTGTGTATTTTTGAGTATTATTTTGTGAGTATTTTTGTGTATTATTTTGTGAGTATTTTTGAGTATTATTTTGTGTCAAATCATTTAATCTTTTGTATGAGCATTTCCACTTTATGACAATTCGTTAAAAATTTCTGATTTATTTTCCTGAAACGAGCTACAGACACAACTTCAAGCGTACTGTATTAAATTCATAAACATATTCCTTATCTTGTTTTGTTAAAATTACTTGTTTATTTCCTCGTCATTATCACCCTTCTTTTATCTTGGCGTAAATCAACAGTTCATTTTAGTCCCCAAGCCACTATAAACGAAGCTAACCGGAATTCGAACTCGACTCGCCGTTTTCTCATTCCGAGCTGCTATCTATTCTTTATACCATCTGCACATCACTTAATCCTTGGGAAAGCACTGAACAACTCATAGAAATCTATTTCTATGTATTTCAAATTCTTTTTTAACTAAGAGTTTTTAGTATTTTGTTTTGACTTCATTATTTCTTTGGTACTTTACACATAGTACGAATACTCAATAATTTAATTTGCGAATTCCTAACGAAAAAAAAAAAAAACGTCGCGATTTCGGGTTACATTTATTTTTTATTTATTCTTTTCTATGCAACACTATCGGTAATAAAAAGTAAATTAGAAGACTATCATGCAAAAAACTCACATTCCATTGAATACTTTTTTAGTTTTTTATTTCTCTAAAATCTGTGGCCTTTTTCATTACGCTATGCTGTTTTCACGCGAAAAAGTGGAGGTACCTAGGTCGATCTTATTTACTAATTTTTTTTTTTTTTTTGGTTTACGTCAACTAAAAATATTTTCTTTTCATATTGTGTTTCGATCGTATTGTTTTTTTTATAAAAATTAAATTTCACATTTCATATCTAGTCACATCTTTCTCTAAGTAAGTTAAATCGATCAATCTATCTGATTTTGTGGTCCGATCCTTAAACTTGCCTAATACAAATGTCGTCTGCAATAGGCAATCCGGTGGAAATTTTTTCCAATTTAAAAAATAAGCGGGAAATTTTTGTAGCAGAAAAATCATCGTCCCGAGAAGAAAATTGTTTGAAAAATAAAAAAAGATTACCGTACAAGATAAATACTGGAGGAGAAAATGGAAGAAAATAATTTAAAAATAAAATTGATGGAAAAAAAAAATAATTTAAAATTACGGGAAAATCAGAGTAAATTGTACCAGAACTTGTATCTCATACACAAGAGGATACATTAGCCTCCAGAGGGTCGTTGGTATACTACAATGAATTATAGATCAAGGACCTGGGACTTTTTTTGTAAGTTGACAACATTGGGCAACGCTGACTGATCTCATTTTAATTTTAGCTTTTGCCTCTGTACATTTTGGAAAAACGGTTTAAGGGTTCATACCTATAGCATTATTCTTGAAGGGGAGAAAATATCTGGTCTTTCAATTTACCATCATTTCTATCTATCTATCTATCTATCTATCTATCTATCTATCTATCTATTTCAGTATTCTCATATCTATCTATCTATCTATTTCAGTATTTTCATATCAATTTCAGTAATTTCATATCTATTTATCTATCTATCTATTTCAGCATTTTCATATCTATCTAATTTCAGTATTTTCATATTTATTTATTTATCTATCTATCTATTTCAATATTTTCATATCTATCTAATTTATTTATTTATCTATCTATTTCAATATTTTCATATCTATCTAATTTCAGTATTTTCATATCTATCTATCTATCTATCTATCTATCTATCTATCTATCTATTTCAATATTTTCATATCAATTTCAGTAATTTCATATCTATTCATCTATCTATTTCAGCATTTTCATATCTATCTAATTTCAGTATTTTCATATCTATCTATCTATCTATCTATCTATCTATCTAATTTCAGTATTTTTCATATCTATCTATCTATCTATCTATCTATCTATCTATCTATCTATCTATCTATCTATCTATCTATCTAATTTCAGTATTTTCATATCTATCTAGCTAGCTAGCTAGCTAGCTAGCTAGCTAAGTTTATATCTAAATAGCTAATGTGTTGTTAACTGTATATTTTAGACCATGCCTAACGTCTATCCTTCCATTCTTTGTCTTTCTGCTGCTACTACCGTGGGGCTTTTTTTTTGTGGAAAAATAAGAAGTGCACATTTACAGCGGATGCTTCCAATTAAACGTAAATATTATTCCACCATTTTTATGTGTTAGGGTAAAACATCAATGTTCTCGTTGGATTTTCCATTCTCTATTTCAAACTTAAAACACGTACAGAGGGGCACGTTAGAAAAGACGTGTTGTTGAGAGGGAAACGGATAGGGGAAAATGATCGATATAGAAGGATCGATAAAGTGAGTGGGAGAAAGAGGACAAGACGAGAGAGAGAGAGAGGGGGGAGGGAGAGAGAGAAAGGAGGGACGTTAAAGCATCATTGAAAGAGAGAAAGGGAGAGAGAGAATGATATGGTTTAAGGGATATAAATTTATTTGATAAATCGATAGAAAGGAAGAGTTTGAGATAGATATGTAGATATTATTATGAATATTTTTTTTAATATATTTTAATATTTTTCAACGGAATCTCTTTCTTCATTAATGCAGTTAATTCAGACGTGAATATTAATGACAATAAATCAAATGTTATACAGTGAAATACATAATGGACCGATTTAGATAGATAGATAGATAGATAGATAGATAGATAGATAGATAGATAGATAGATAATGAAACGATTAAGATAGATATGAACACAGTGAGACAGATAGATATGAACAGAATGAGATAGATAGATAGATAGATAGATAGATAGATAGATAGATAGATAGATAGATAATGAAACGATTAAGTAAGATAGATATGAACAAAGTGAGACAGATAGATATGAACAGAATGAGATAGATAGATAGATAATGAAACGATTAAGATAGATATGAACAAAGTGAGACAGATAGATATGAACAGAATGAGATAGATAGATAGATAATGAAACGATTAAGATAGATATGAACAAAGTGAGACAGATAGATATGAACAGAATGAGATAGATAGATAGATAGATAGATAATGAACCGATTAAGATAGATATGAACAAAGTGAAACAGATAGATATGAACAGAATGAGATAGATAGATAGATAGATAATGAAACGATTAAGATAGATATGAACACAGTGAGACAGATAGATATGAACAGAATGAGATAGATAGATAATGAAACGATTAAGATAGATATGAACTAAGTGAGACAGATAGATATGAACAGAATGAGATAGATAGATAGATAGATAGATAGATAGATAGATGTGAAAAAAAAATTAAGACAGGTGGATTAGAAATAGAAATCCTGATATAAATGGTTAAGGTTACGAAAAAGAGTGAAAGAGAGAAAAAAAAAAAAAATGAAAAAAAAGAAATAAAACGAGTCAGGTATCGACATAAACCGGGAGAAAGCTGTTTCAGTTTAGTAATAAATCAATTGATCGATTTCTTAGGGCAAATAGAAGAATGGGTAAAACGGATAAAGAGAGAGAGAGAGAGAGAGAGAGAGAGAGAGAGAGGATCCTGAATTAGGAACACAAGTGAGAAGGGATGGGAGTAAATATCTGGTAATTAGGTATTGATCTGTGTATATATATACACACACACACACATATATATGTATATATACATATATATATACATATACACACACACACACACATATATATATATATATATACATTATATATATATATATATATATATATATATATATATTCGTACAAGTTTAATGCATATACCTATATATAAATAAGCAATGTAACAAGCTCCTTGTCTAATGATGAAAGAAACGTTTACTTTGTCGGAGTTAGCTCCTCTTTAATTCCCTAATCGTTCACTAGGGGTTGCTCTCCCTACACTATAAATACTGGTCAACTTCTTGCCTCGTTCTCTTTTTCATTTCTTCATTTCAGCGAAAACATCTACAATATAAGCTCTCGCAGAAGATAGAGTCTTCCCATTTGTGGGAGACGCCAGGAACATTATACACACATACACGTACATACGAACTTTCACCAATATACAAACGCTTTGCGTCCACACACAAACACAAGTGTTGATGTCTTTGTCTCTTGTAAATTTGTTGTTTAATACATATATTTGCTGATATATATATATATATATATATATATATATATATATATATATATATATATATATATTGGTCTTGTTTGTTTTCTTTACCTCTTCGGTTCGACTCAACTTGAGTCCGCCATATTCTTGTATCGGACCTTCTTCTAGCAGGAATAAACACACGTGTTTCTAATTCAACAACTCGAAAACCCACACGGGTCCTCTCCAACTTTGACAACAAATAATTTTTATTTTTCAACAGAATCTCTTTGTTTTTGGATGCACTTAATTCAATGCTGAATATTAATCATATATAATAAATTGAATTGTAATTGTTGTAATTGTGAGTTCAATCACTGGGCTGGGCAGTGTCTACTTGAACTCAGTGGACACAGGGCGCGCAACAACTGAGCAGTGCTAAAAATAAGAACCAGATGATATAACCCTAAACATGGGCTGTGAAACGAGAGCAGTCTGTCGAAGTTAGCTCCTTTTTAATTCCCAAATTGTCACTAGGGGTCTCTCTCCCCATACTGGACGACTTCTTGCTTCGATCTCTCTTTCCTTCAGGCCTTGTGCCGCATCCCACCTTGCGTGGAGGTTAGGTAAATCCTCTTTTTCATTTCTTCATTTCAGCGACTACAATGTAAGCTCTCTTAGAAAATAGTGTTTCCCACTTGTGGGAAGACGCCATGAACATTATACATACATACACGTACATACGAACATTCACCAAGCAACAAACACCAATGTTACAAACGCACAAATGTTATTGTCCATTGTAAAATTGTTTTGTTTAATACATATATTTGTTTATATATATATATATATATATATATATATATCGATCTTGTTTGTCATCTTTATCTTCAGTTGGACTTAATTCAAGTCCGCCTTTTTCTTGTAGCTTGACCTTCTTCTAGCAGGAAAAATAAACACACGTTTTCTTTTCATCTTCCCCCCCCCCCGGTCCATTACAAGTTTATCCCCGTAGATTAAATAATGGCTTCAGTTCGGAATTCCCTGTAGCATTGACATACTCCTGGTGGCCGAAGGACATGGTGGCCGAGACGTTGTAATAACAACAACAAAGATGAGAACAATAGTACGAATGTAAATGATGTAAACTATGATAATGCCTCGTCCCAGAAATTCAGACAGGAAGAGATCGAATATTATACACTGAAAATTTCAGATCAAAATTCTGCTAATAACTACTTGTCAGGCTATGAACTTATTGATTTAACTACGTCTGTATGCAAGGGAGGAGGTCTATAAAAACATGTTTGTTCAGGTGAGTCTGGTATGCACAATGATTTCGTTGGAAACCCACGAGTAGAACTGAGGCAAGTTAAAAAGTAAGAAATAAATTTATGTTTAATATTTGTGCCCGCAAAAAAAAAAAAAAAAACCTTAAAAAACACAAAAGAAAAACGCTAGGTGAAAATGGCAGTTATTCCCTTGACACCACTGTTACTTTTGATTCCTTCAGCAATGTTTATTGTTTTAAGAAGCGATGATTGGAATTTTAATAAAACCCAAACATATGAAAGTGGATTAATGCATTGTTTTTATTCTTGAGAACTGACAACAAAGATGTTAAACATTATGTATTTATTAGATTGAATGAAAAACGCATTTTCATAGTTTTCATAGAATGGTAAATAATAAATATTCCATTCTAATTTTGTAATTTTTATAATTCTTTTAGCAAGAAGATTTCTTTTTAAATTTATTGCTTTATAAAATAGTAAATAATAAATATTTATAAATAGTGAATAATAAACATCACATTGTACTGGATTCATGTATTTTTATAATATTTAAAATAAACGTTGCTGAGGGAGTCAAAAGTGTATTCAGTAATAGCAGTGTCAAGGGAATAACTATCCTTTTGACCCACTGTTTTTTTTTGTGGTCAGGAAGGTTAAATAAACCATAAAAAACATTCAGAGTCTTTCATATATATATATATATATATATATATATATATATATATATATATATATAAAGAGAAAGAACAATAAGATATATAATCCGGTGTTCTTATTAATTATTTTTATTTTTTATTTATACAAAACAGTGCTGAATACAAATCTACAGAGCATAAATATTATAAATTTACTAATTTAAAAATATGGCTCCATCGCTACACAGGAATTACCCTGTTTCGGAAACAAAAACTAAATACTTCAAATTCAATTATAGAATTAAATTAAAGTCCTTAGTCCTGTTTCATTTTCAAGGAAATTTTGGAATAACTTATTTTGAAATTTACTGAGTTCTATAAGTACATACATTCATAATATTAATTTCTAAGGATATGGGAAATTCAATCATTTTGACAAGGGGTGGTAGGGTATTCATTTTCAGTGACAACTATTGTATCAATATATGAGTTACTTTTGAAAAGCATTTGTTTTAAAAGAAATATAGTCTATTAGTAATTAAAATTAAGGATAATATTTTAAAATTGTAGTTCAATACAACGTATTCATATGCAAACAACCCTTTTCGAGAAAATCTTTATGTATACAAGTACAAATTTAACAGTGAAACCAAAGCACCAAAAAATGTTTTGTCATTGATAGAGACCAGACGACATGCATTGAACAGAAGTCATCATTCGTTTTAAAAGGCACCACTAGCCTACCTTGACTTAACCTCTTTTTGCCCTTCATGGGTGATTGGAAATTTTAATGGGCATTATAGGCTTTTGAGTATTAAAAACTATTTCAACATATGCTATATGAAAAAAATATTGAAAAGAGATATGCAACCAACTTGCATATAAAAAAAACAGAGGAATAATTGGGTTGTTTTCTAGGATAAGATATAAATATCCCCACAAACAAGGAGGCATAGTGGAGTAATTGGTAGTGGCTCAGATTGAGGAATCGAAGAGTTGAGTTTGAATTCCAGTCGAGTGCATTACATTCACTTACCTTGGGAAAGGTATGAATTCTCTTCTTCTCCCCCCCCAGCTATAGGTAAAATAGCTGAACAGACTGGGTTTTATAGCCTTGGGTAGCAACTAGTCTAGGAGAAGAAAACTCTGAATTCAAAACCTGATCCTCTAGATTGGCAGGTGGGGTGGGGGGTTTGGGCAGTTGGCTAACAACCTACTTGCTTAAAAAAAACTCGCTTGTTATAGAAACGTGCAATGATATCTTGTAGTCCTATGTTCCTCAGGGAATTTAAAGGCATAATATATATGCCTGCAAACTACAAACATTTTAGTGTTTTTCTATAGTTTTGAGAAGGGCCACTAACATTCAAATAGTTCTTCAGTATTAAACATAATAAAAAAATATTTGGAGAACTTTTTGTTACTTGCTAGTAGTGTTTATTATCTTTAATTTCATAATAATGAACAAAAATTATTTAATTCTTTGTCAACTCTTGTAACACTATCCATAAAACTAACCTTGACCATGAGACTAAATTATATATATATATATGTATATATATGTGTGTGTGTGTGTGTGTATGTGTATGTATGTATACATATATATATATATATATATATATATGTATGTATATTACACACACACACACACACACACACACACATATATATATATATATGTAGTGGAAAATGTTATATGGAGAGAGACGGGAGATCACCGCCCTCTGTAGGATCAGGTTGAGATCATAGACAAAGAACACTATTGGAAAATTTGTAAACTTAAGGAATCAGCACATATGCTAGGCCACAAAAATCTACTGAGTCGACCAAGCATAGGAATGAATACAATATGGGAACCAGTAATAAGGAGTGCCAGAGAAAAGCGATAATAACAACAAAAATTGCAATATGAGCTCTGGTAAAAACATGTAATGATAACAGCAAAAATTGCAATATGAGCACTAGTAAAAAAGGGTTGATGAAGACATTAGGTTTATAATACCTAGAAATTCATGGCACAGTGGATAAAGGCGTTAGTTAGATCCAGTGACAGGACCCAAAGAGTGTGAGTTCCATAGCCGATTAAGGCAGTGGAGAATTTTCAGAGGGAAATTAACAGGAGATAACTGATAACTGACATCCATTAAACATGGCACATGGAACTAGAACAGTCTACCCCAGTGAGTGAAATAAAGGGTTCAGTTCGACATTCCAACCACCTGAAGAAGGCCAGAGCGTACAATGGCCGAAAAGATGAGGACAATAGTCTGAATAATGTAAAGACTGCAATGGAACTCACTATTCAAGACAATAAAGCCCCTAAGACACAAGAGGTTATTGGTTGTGAAAGAATAAGAAAAAAGAGAAACATTATTAAAGAATGAGAACAATAAAATAAGATGAATAATCAAGAAGACAGTAAATAATGATTTCAATTTTAAAAACCAAATCAAGATTTTCTCCTTTGGTAACAGGGAGGATGCAGTTCAAGCCTGCTGGTTCCATTCCCAGACTAAAAGGATGAAAACCAGTTTGGACTCAGTTGATATTTGTTTCTCTGGAACCACGACTGATTTGTAACCAGAATTTCTACAGCTTAGCTTAGTTTGGCACAAGATTGCAATGGAACTCACTATTCAAGACAATAAAGCTCCTAAGACGCAAGAGGTTACTGGCTGTGAAAGAATAAGAAAAACAAAAACATTATTAAGGAGCAAGAACAAAATAAGAAGACAGTAAATAATGATTGATATTGCATTTAAATTTTTGAAGATCAAAGTTGACTGGAAAGTATGGAGCCAGAAGAGAGTTCCACGAGTAAGAAGTGAGAGAAAAGAAACTGTTAGGCATAGAACTTACAGTTGCATCTAACCAATTCAACTGTAAAATAATGAGACCTAGCTGCTAATCTAGTACTGAGCTTAAATTCATAAAGTCTACCTAGACTTTATGAATTTAAGCTCAGTACTATAAGAGGATCATTTAATACCAGAATATTTATTTGCTGTTAAACAATCAGCCATTAGCTGCATATAGTATGTATTTTACTAGGGCTAATATACAATTTTTATAATTCAGAGTTGTCCTTTTCTGAGACTGGCTGCAAAGCAGAGCTGAAGAGCCTAGTTTGCTCTACTATTTTCCTATATCTGTGAGGAAAAGATGTATGTATACCTTTCCCAAGAATATTTGCACATGAGTGAATACAGCATTGTTTAGATCAAAATTATGGTTGAATTTATTTCTATGTATAACTAATGTATTTGATAAATTGTTGTGTATAAGATCCCTTTTGTGTTTATAGAAACATTTTTTTAAGTTTCTGCAAATTTCCCCAATGTATTGCATTGAGCAGTTCCAGCTGTAACTGCATGTCTTGATACAATTAACACCTTGCATATATATACAAAAAAAACAAAAAAACTCTGGCAATCTTTTAAATAAATTAAAAAACATAGACATCAAAAACAAATATATGACGTCTAGATATAAAAATCTTTATATACATTGGGCTATGATAAGTTTTTAGCCACCCTTGATTATAGCAATTTTGGCTTGTGTAATAACGTCTCTTTTTTTTTTCAGACAATACCGTGTTAGTATCAAGCTACTCTCATCTATGAACAATAGTTGACTTATATTTTGCAATGAAAGTTTGCGGGAAGTAAGGAAATTGGTGAATTTCAATGAGGGCAAATAATAGGATGGCATCAGTGTGGCAAGTCAAATAGAGAAATTGCTAGGTTTTGCCAGGTTAATCATCAAACGGTTAATAATATTGTCAAGAAATTTAATAAAGAAGGCCATTGTCATGTGGAACAAAAAAGACCAAGCATTGTGTCTGAGCAAACAAAAAGGGCACTGAAGAGGGAAGTCATCAGAAACCATTGTCAGAGCTTCAAAGATGTCACCAACAGCATAGAAATGTCAACATATATGGTGAGGAAGACTCTGAAAGAGCTAAGCTATCAAAGAAAGAAGCCTTTGATTTCAGAGGTTAACAGGTACAGGCATATGGACTGGACAAGAGAATTCGAGAGCAAAGTTTATGAATTTTGGTAGTCTGTAATTTGGTCAGATGAAAGTAAATTCTGCCAATATTTGACTTCAAAACAGGTTTGTTTGGAGAAATCAGAATGAGACTTGGAACACTGAATGTCTGCAGGCGACCGTGAAACATGGAGATGGGAATAATGTTGTGGGGCACTGTCTGGTTTGGAGGGAAATCTAAGCTGATTCTTGTTGATGAGCAGTTGAATGGTCCAAAATACTGCCAAATGTTAGAGAAAAGACTATTCCAACTATTTGAAAGCAATCAGATTGACAAGAATGTCTACCTTTTTTAAGAAGATGGAGTGCCATGTCATACAAGAAAAGTAGCAAAGGCCTAGAAGGAATCACAAAGAATCAAGTCACTGTTATGGGTAGCCCAAAGTCCTGACATGAATCCAATAGAGCACATTTGGGAAAACCTTGACTGAAAACTTTGAGAGCATGCAACCAAAATCACGTCAGTGGCAACCCTTAAAGAAACATTGTTAAAGGAGTGGCAAAATATGACTCAGACGATTGTTGATAATTTGATCAAATCCATGAAAAATCGAATACAAACACTGAAAATAGCAAATGGAGGACCTACTCCGTACTAGTTCTAAATACTGTTTATTTATGTTGATTTGGGTTTATGTAATTAAATTTTGAAATTGGATTTAGTTTATTTCTCCTGGCTAAAAACTTAGGCAACAGTAAATGTTCTTGTAAAGAAATACCTAAATTTACTAAAAAACGCTTAACAAAGATTAAAATAAAACTACCTTTTCCTACACATAAGACCTTAAAAACGAGCTATTTAATTACCAATCAATTTTTTTTCATCTTCAATAAAAATTTTTATAGACAAAAGTTTGATTTATCAATGGGGGCTCCTCTTAGTGGCATTTTGGCTTGTCCATTTTCAGAATTTCTGGAAAGTGATCCTTTCAAAATATTTTACCAGAAGATTCTTCTTATTTCAGATACACAAGTGAATGTAATGAACCCAACTGGAATTCAAACATGGATCTCCAGTTTCTCCTTCTGATGACTATAGAACCGAGTCAGCTTTACTATTAACCCATAGTTGGGGGTAGAAGAGTTGGATTCATACTTTTCCTAACTGCTAACCATTAGAAACAAAGAAGTATACTTAAATGTATTGAGCCTCTTATATGGCAGTGAATGCTGAACAATTTCCTCACAGATGAAGAGACTTGAATCAACAGTGATGTAGTCCTACCAAAAACTGATAAGAATTCTACGGACAGAAAACTTATGCTTATAGTGAGAGAAAGTCAGTTGAAGTTTCTGTGACACATAATGAGGAATAAAGGCTTGGCAAAGTTAACAAATATAAGACATACTAAAAGCAAGAGAAACAGGGGAGACAGAAAGTTGTGGAGAGCCATGAATGATCATGTCTTCGAAGATATATAGCACATAAAAGTGAATGGATGGAAGAACAGATACGAAAAATGTTGGTAAAGAGTCAAAAGTTACTTAGAGCCACAAAAGACAGGAAGTTGTGGAGAGCCATGAATGATCATGTCTTCAAAGATATATAGCCCATAAAAGTGAGTGGATGGAAGAACACATACAAAAAATGTTGCTAAAGAGTCAAAAGTTACTTAGAGCCACAAAAGACAGGAAGTTGTGGAGAGCCATGAACATCATGTCTTCAAAGCACGCCCTGAATGGATGGAAGAACAGATACAGTCAAAAGTTACTTAGAGACAAAAGACAAAAGAGCCATTATAGGTTCATGACACATAAAAAAACAGGATTATAAAAAACAGGATTATTAGCACATTTATAAGTATCCTTGAGTTCTTGACTTTCTGTAGAGGATCAAAGTGTAGTATGTGTTGACTCTAGCTAGGTTGTAAATGTTACTCCTCACCCTCTGCCTAAGATCAGTTTACTATCTCTGTGCTTTGTCTAATATATCTGAAAACTTAATTTACTACCCTATTCAAGAATAAAAACATTGACAGTGGTTATGTCATTTGACTTTTAGGTTAAATTAGAACTGGAAATTCATGTTCATTTTATGAATTTGTTTGCTTTAGGCCATCAATAGATACAGACAGAAATCACACTATTTATTCAGATATTTAACTGGCATGGCTTAACCTTCATGCCCTTAAAAATGGTGTGTCCAAAGGATGATTTTTTCCTTTGACACCTTTATTATGTTAACTACCAAATTATAAAATAATCTAAACATATGAAAGTGAATTTATACATTTTCTTAGTTCTTGGGATCTGACCACAAAAATAATAAAACATTATTTATTTAATATTTTACTTACATCATTTATTATGTTATTTATTAGAATAGTTACTAAGACATGTTATTTATTAGAATAGTTACTATTTTGACAACCAATATAAACTTATAAAATAGTAAATAATAAGGATTTCTATATATTTTGTTCCCATATTTTAATAATTTAGCAAATGTTTTGTAAATTTATGAGTAAAAAATTGTTTTCATATTCATTTCGTTATAAATTGGTAAATGATAAATATTGCATTGCATTAGTTTTAATTGCGTAAGTTTTTCGAATGTTGTAAATATAAAATCATTCTTGTAAATAAACAATCTAATAATTAGTTTTTAATATTTTTGTTGTAAATTCTCAAGAACCAGAAAAATGTATAAATTCACTTTCATCATATCTTTAGGTTTTATTCCAATTTTAATCATCATTTTTTTAAAACAATAAACATTGCCAAGGAGTGAAGGTAGTTAAAATAATAGAATATATTGTATATATGTATATATATATATATATATATATATATATATATATATATATATGATGAAGATGAAGAAGTCTTTAAGCAAGGAAATGTGGTTCTGTAGAAAGGTAATGCGAACACCATTGTAATGTGAACACCATGGAGAGGCTTTAGAAAACTTGACACATATTGAAGGAAAGAAGGAAAACAATTTTTTATTCATAAATTTATAAACTTTTACTAAATTATTAAAATATGTGAACCAACTATAATTTACCGTTTTATTAAGTTTGAATCAACTGACAATTAATTGATGTTTTGCCAACCATTCCAATAAACAATCACTACAAATTTGTGGGTTGTGTCTATCCACCTTTACAGATGTGAGATTTAGACACTTTTTGTTAATGCCAAAAATGTTTGTGGTATAATATATTCGTAACTTACTTGTTGACAACATTAATATAATAGCATCATCTACATGCAAAAAAAAAAAGGCTAAAAATAATGGAAGCCTTATTAATAAAACCAAAAAACCAACACTTAATAATATTAACTTTGAACATGGACACAATATGTTGACTGTGTTTTTAAAATGAAAACATTTTATAAAACATACATACAACAAACTATTTCTTTTCTTATTAAATAGTTAAAATATTTCATCCTTGAAAATGGCTAATTGTATAACCAATAGCACTTGGATAAAAAGAACATTTGGACAG